CATTGTATGAGAGTCTGCGGAGGACTTTACGATCAACGTAATTTAGTAAAGTGTTGTGGCTTAAATATTTTAGAAATAACAATTTCGAGGTGCGATTTAATATTTTGTCCGTTTTCTCTGCCGGACAGTTATTTTTATGAGTTATTTATTATCCGTTGTAAAGCAACAGGGTGATACTATAAACTAAATACAGAAATAACGAAAACAATCATTTTAAAACGGAGAAAGATATAAAATTCAGAATTCCGTATTAGTTTGAACCTAATTATATATTTTTTAATTATATATTCAGTCACCTCGTTTTGGACTTCAGACTAGGAAAAACATTTTTTTCTGTGTTAAAAAACATACTTGATCCATCTTATCAATGTAAGTAAATTGGAAACTTCACAATGTCACTCTTGTCTAATGAAGCCCAGCAAGTCCTAACGAATCACGTGCAAATGACGTCAACATTAAATCCGAAGTACCTTAAAGCAGTATTCTTTAATCCCTATTCTATACTATTTATACTAAAATAATGTCGCCGATTACTTTACATGTTAAATATCATTAATATGGTGATGATACCAGATACAGTCTTTCGCGTTTGTTATTATTATAACTATATCTTAATTAATTAATTATTAATTATAATTATTTACTTTAAATTAATTCCACGCAGTCGTCTATTATAGTTTTTGGTGGAAAATGACTTTTTAATAAATGTCGTAATAAACCATGGGCATTCATTGAAACTATAAACTAAAATGTTCTTCATAAGTTTGGGCCTATGGTACATTAAAACTGATTTACCCTTATAAAGAATGTTTATCACGAGAAACCAAAAAGTTTTTTCTGAACCTTCGTGGTTTTATATCAGTTAAATTATTGCTATGCAGTCTTTGGCCTGCGTCTTGACTCAGTAGATAAAATAATAATAATAAAATAAAATCTTTTGCTATGCATGCTAACATTCTGTTTTTTATTTTGTAATGCTGTTGACACTATCTTATTGAACAAATCTTCTTACTTTGATTTATAGCACCATCTGTTACTCTGTGGCGGATAAGCTATGGGACGCTAATGTTCTATTAAATTCTTGTTAAAAATTCGAAAGAGGTGAAAGAAAAAATGCATAGCAACATTTGGCAAGCGTCTCTATGAATCCCAATGATTGCTTGACTCATTGCACAATCGCCTCGTTCAACAATTATCATTGACTACTAGGGTGAGTAGATATTCAGTAATGAACATAAAATATTTAAGAATTAAAATATCATCTGACAATAACATAGAGGATGAAATAAGAGAACAAACAAAAGCCAATATAAAAGCAGGATGCCTAAACGACACGATATGGAAGAATAAATACTTAAAAACCGAAACAAAATCTCGCATATATTAACTTGTAGTCCGACCAGTCATGACATATAGCTCTGAAACAAGACCGGAGACATTTAAGACTCAGAAATGGGATAAAGAAACAAAAACATAAGACACAAATGTGGAATTGAAAACATTAACACCTAGACAATAAATAGAAAGCAAGAATGGAATCAACATATAGATAGAATGTCTGAACAACGGATAGTGAGGATAGCAAGAGATTGAAATGTAGTGGGTTTTATTTGATGAAAATCGATTTATCAAAAGTTCAGATTTTCACGAAATTATATTTGGGTAGTGATTAATCGGGTGCAACAACGAGAGCACGGGTCACTCATCGGAATCCCACACAATGACACGACAAGTGTTCCGACAACACCGTGTCTTTATCAAATCTGACATTTGATGAAGACACAGTGTTGTCGAATAAATTGTCATTTAAAAAAATATATAATTTCGTGAACATCTGAACTTTTAGTTCTTATTTATTTTGATAGCAAGAAATAAATCGCCTGCTGGTCGGAGGAGTATAGAAAAAGATGGAACGACAGCTTGTGATAAAAAGAAGAGGGATAATGTCGCAAGGTTTTATAGGTTGAATGCGAGTTTTGAAATGAGTCGTCATGAGCATAATAAATTACCCTCCTCAAAATTTATTATTATAATATCAGCATAGGTAAGACCTAGTACACCTAGCTAGTAACTATAAGGTTCCAACAAATATGTTGTAGTGCGTGAGTCCCAAACATAAACAATTTATTCCCATCTGTTCCGAAAAAAAAGCCAACATCGACCTTTTCCAGTTTAAATAATTTAAGCACCTTCCGCTCTCCCTTTTACCGATCGACTTACGAATCAAAAGGTTGGAAAACGCCAGGGTGGCGAGATTACGCTAAAAAATGCCGCTATTTACGGCGAGCGGTCATTTTTCCAGGACCGGGCTTAACAATACAAGCGATAAAAGGCCATTTCATGAAGGAGAACAAATTTATGACGCCATGTCGTGATGGGATTTACGCCTTTTTGGGGGCTGTTTTTTTCTGATAGATGGTTAGGTTGATGCGAGGTTATATTGCTTGTAGAACGGAGATTGACGCTTTGGTCAGGTAACGTTAGTCATTCCCGATAAGGCTAGAAAATAAATTAGGCTCATTTTATTCATTTTAAACTTTAACCCCCCAAAACTCGCATTGCACTAAAGGATGATAGAATTTTAGAAATAATTGAATGGAAAAATAATTAGAAACATTAGAAACAAGAAGTTGATTCTTCAGGTCCATTAAAATATGCCAAAATTTATTCAATATTCCAAAAGAATATGAAAAATGTTCTTAATATTTATTATAATTTTCATCTTTTTGGTAACTACAGATTAAATTTTAAAGTTTAAACATACAACATGATTTAATTTGATTTCATTTGCGTATTTAGAAAACTTGTGATGGAAAAATGTTACATTAAGAAACGAACACTTTTTTTACATAATCATTTAATAATTACATAATATTCTTTTAAGTTATTTTTTATTTATTTATGTTTTTTTATGTTATGAATCTAAATCTCTGGATATTCTGTGAAGAATACTCCAACGATGTTTTATGATGTATGGAGCATTGGCCGGTCATTCTAAACCTTGATATTGCATTCCTGGCAGTAGTGAGGTGCCAGTCTGGTAGTGTCGTGAATGATATGGGGTTCCACACTTTCTTCTGCATATCAGTGAGCGTTAACAATTCAATCTCTAAATCGATACAAGTTCGTATGCACTGTGAATAAAATTCTTTCATAGACCATAATGGAACCCGTTCCAAAATCTACAGCTTTAGCATTTGATTGCAGGAATCCCTCACCTCTAAGTGAGAAGAATTGGATCAATCATCATATGAATTCTATAACTTGGTCATCTCAGATTTGATTGTGGATTTGATAGTAGATAGTACTGTCAAACATTTTTTCTTGCCGTGCGGGTGCGATTTTCGAGGGCCTTTACAAATCTCGATCATTGCTGGAGTTGTTATTCTTTGTTTTACAGACTTCGAAAGATATTCCAAATTGAGTAGCCATCTTTACCACGTCATGAAAAATTTACAAAAAATGGGTGAACAATAGGTATGGGGAAACTGGGAAATTAAGCTACCCCATCCGGAACGCAAAGGGTTCGAGTTAATAACAAATGTATAAAAAGCGTTAAAATAGTATCTACTGCATCGCAATGGTCGGGGCACCGTACTAAATCTCGGCATCCCCACCGAGAGAGCTAAGAAATCACCGACGCAACCATCCCGGGGTAACTACAAAAATTGGTTTAGACGTGGTTTGTGGCCGCGCATAGTCCCCATATAATTCCTTTTTGTCTCTTGAGGGCTGAAGCGAAACCTCCGGAAAATGAATCCGAAGCCGGGAACATTGGAAAAGCGATTAAATATTTAAGTTGTGAGTTATCCCCTTTTAAATCGAGACGGCACTAATTTATGCGATTGCGGGTCTGGATAAAGGTCGAGTTTGGCACAATTTTGCGTTTATTTTCATTAGTTTGGGTCGAAGCACAATATCAGAAATCCATTTGCAGACACCCGCCTGATTTCGGATTCTAAATTAGACGTTACTTTTATTTTAACACTGCCCCGAAAACGTGCCTAAATACAATGAGAAACTTTATCAGAACCAAATTTTGAGCAGATGAAAAAGTCACTTCGCACAAGTGCTCTTAGGTGGCTCGATGAAAATATTTTCCATTTTTTATTAAACACAACTCTTTTATCCAGATGAACGTATACAAAAATCTAATGAAAGTGATTATGTGTTTCAATGATTTCTAATTCATCGATTTAAAGAATTAATTTATCCAAATGCCCTTTGTGTTATTGTACCTAATTCAACAAATAAAAGAATCCGCATTTCCATCTACTTTTGAAACAAATCTTTGTGACAATTCTTTTATTCCTCTTCTATTATTGTATTGATTTTCGTCCAGTAAAGAAGGCGGACAATTCCCGTGGAAAAGATTTCTTAAATCTTGTGAATTAATTTATCAGTTTGATAAATTTATGTTATGCAATGCTACTTACCAAAGCTCAGATAATGCTACCCAATTAAAGAAAATAGAATGACCCTTTCTTGCAATAGTTGTCGGAATTTTACGTTAATAATAACCGTTCATTATTATCACGAACCACATTGTTTTCGGAGAAAATTCGCTCAAAATGCAAAACGTATCAACGCAGGTACATAAATTTGCTTTTTTAATCTGCAAGCCGGTGACAGTGTCGAAGAGAATTTTTCACTGAGCTAAGGCCGTTTTCATTTCCGAAGTGGAAAAATGCTTCGCGAGTTGCGCCATTGTTGGATTTAAATCAACCGAACACGTCGTCCGATATTTTCACGTATTGTGGAAAACAGTGCCAGTCGGAACGATAACGGCGGACATTTTTCCTTCGTTTCTGCTATTTGTACGATTCCGGATTTCCCGCCACCGATATTACGAGTACGTAGCGCGTAAACGCGCTAACAATAATATTTCCGTGTTTGCGAGGCAAGCAGCGTGTTCAGCTTACCTGAGCATTTAAATTTAATTAAATGTATAATCGCAAACGATTCGTACTTGCAAATCTGATTTTTCTTTTTTGTTACAGGGATTACTACTATGACAGGTGAGTCATTCCAGTCACGCAGAGAGAACCGACAAGTGGCCACCATCAAATTTTACAATTTAGTTGCATACGCATTGAAAAAAACTTTCTACACAATCTCTTAGATATTTATTCCCCTAACACAATCATTTTCTCAATACTGGGAATTACATTTTAATTGGTATAGTATTTATTACTTATTCAACTGTATTTAATAATAATTAATATTTAAAAAGCATTTAACTGCTACTTATACGGACTACGAGGCGTGCTCAAAAAGTAAGGTGACTTGTAACTGGAAGGGCTACGTACATTCGGTCGTCGTTATTTTTCTTTGTTATGTTGGTACATATGTTCACAGTTTCAGCCAGTTTGCAAGTTTACTTTTTTTTGAGACAGAAGCGTGTTTTGTTACAAAGAATGTGCATAAAATTTTCTGTAAAAAATGGGATACAACGCAGCCAAAAATGTTGACAACGGCATATCAATCTGAATCTACTTTGGGCAAAAAAAAATGTTTATAAATGGTACAAACTGTTCCAAGATGGCCGACAAGACGCCAATGACAAACCTCTCTCTGGACGCCCTAGCACGTCAATTACTGATGAAAGCGTTGAAGAAGTGAAACTAATGGTGTTGAAAAATTGTCGAAGTCTATCTTATGCCATGCAATATTTTCCGAAGTTTTGGGCATGAAACGTGTAGCAGCAAAATTTGTTCCGACACTGCTTAATTTTGAACAAAAGGGCCGTCGAAGGAGCATCGCTGATATGCTCAAAAAGGTCATAACTGATGACGAAACATGGGTATATGGTTACGACGTCGAAACCAAATCGTCTTGACTCAAAAAAAGCACCTCAAGTTGGAACAAATGTCAAGGTTTGGCTTACTGTTTTCTTTGATTATCGTGACGTAGTACATAAAAAGTTCTTACCACAAGGTTGTACGGTCAATAAAGCGTATTACCTTGAAGTTATGCGCCGTTTGTGAGAAGCAATGCAAAGAAAACGTCCGGAATTGTGAGAAAACAATTCATGGATTGTGCATCACGACATGGTTACTGGTGTGTAACTTTTTGGCCAAATACAAAATCACAATCATGCCTAAGGCACCATATTCACCGGATATGGCCCCCTGCCACTTTTTCCTGTTCCCAAAACTCAAAAATTCCATGGAAGGAAGGAGGTTTGGAACAATTGAGAATATAAAGAAAAACGTGCTGGACAAATTCAAGTCTATACCAGAAAGTGCTTACCAGAAGTGCTTCGAAGATTGAAAAAAAAATTGGCACTAGTGTATTATATCTGGTGGGGGGGGGGATTACTCTGAAGGTTACCATATTAATTTTGATGAATAAATAAATACTTTTTGATAAAACTTAAAAGTCATCTTGCTTTTTGAATACACCTCGTATTTGATTTCAGATCTTCAAGAAAAAAATATTCAATGGGTAAATCATAAAATTCAAGATTTCTTAGAAAGCCCTCAAATGAAACCATAACTTTAAGAATTATTAGTCTAATCAGTTGTGTCATAGGGTCATTGGCGTACTGATATTAATTTTCAACAAACTCGAGCTTGTTTTAATAACAAATATAGGTATTTTCTAATAATGTTAGAAACATTTATACAATAATTTTTGACAACGCGATTAGATGACAATTTTAACTTCATAAGCAGTTCTTAAAGCCTAACTATCTATCATTATTCTATTTTTCAGTACATCTTGTATTGAATCCGATTCTTGGGAGACAATTGTTTCAATGTTTAAACTAAAAAAATTCGAAGTTTCATTATCTTTACTTGCCGTAATTAGTCAATATTACAGGCTGAATGCTGAAGGGACTAAACGTCCTCTAATTGTACAACCCCAAGAATACCCACGAAAGGGCAAAATATTGAAATCTGGTATTGCAGAGCATGTCAGGTCAAGTTTGAGCATGGGGAACCTCTCTGGAAAAAAACGCACATTTTAAGAAGCTTATATCTTTACAGCAAAGCAAAGCAAAGTTTTGAACAACTAACGCCGTCGTTCTTAGCGATAACGGACAGACAGTGATCCATCTGTCCCGAACTTTACATAATATTCAGTAAAGACAATAGACAATAGAAATTCAAAGTTATTTTAGTTTCAACTCCGTACGTACTTGAAGTAGCTTGCGCTCAAGAGACTTTAGGCGCAGTATAACCCACAGCACACGACTACCGAGTCACAAGTCAAATACATCTGGATTCATCCTGCGTCGATTTTTCTTGACTCGAACTAGCTAACGTTCTGCCAATCATCTTGTTGGCTTCTTCAGATCTTAACTGAAACTGCTTCAGTTTCAGTTCAGTTTCAGTTAAGCACTGAACAGGATGATTTGGAAGTTTGATTCAACAAAAACCAACGCAGGAGGAATCCAGAAGTTTTGTGAAAAGTATTAGAGTAGCCTGTGGAAGTTTCTTTAAAAAATTCCAAGTCAAAAAAAGGTGAAAACATGCAAATAGTTTCGTAGTCTACACGATTTGTTACAGCCCATCAATTCAGCTAAGAACCAAATGTAAATAATAGTTCATGTTTTCCTGAATTCTCTAAAATATTGAGATTAATAGATTGCTATTTTCTTCCCCTGATTCTGAATAATATAAAAATCTAGTTTTACAAGTCTACACTCTGAATAATGGTGAAGGTTCCTCTGTTAATTAAAAACTGGGACGATGGTTGTGTGATTCATTATTCTTTACCTCGTCAGCTGTTCTAAAAAGAAAGAAAAAATTTCATTACCATTCAACAACAAATGGTTCATCAACAAAAAATGACTTTATTACCCCTTCAAACTTGCCGTCTGGTAACGATTTAATATTAGTTAGTAAGGCATTAAAAAATGTAACATGGACCTTATTACCTACCCCCAAGTATTATAGCCGTGCGGGTCAACATTTTTGATATATTCAAGTAAATTTTCGTGTACAGGGTGCAGCAAAAAGGTAGGCAGGATTTCAAATAGTGCTTGTTCGGTTTGTAAAACCGGCAACACTGTGTACGCACTCGCGTTAGGCAGATAAAAGTATGCAATTTTTAGTTATCAACATGGCTTGGAGCGGAGTGCATCGTACTTTCGTTGTCGAGAAGTTTATTAGAAATGGGGAATCTGTAATACCGACGCAGCGTGCCTTTCGTAATCAGTTTGACGTTGGTCGGCATGGCGTGGTTCCGGATGGATGAACAATTCGTCGGTGGGTTTTACACTTCAGGGAAGCGCTTAACCGAAAATCTACTGCCCGACCAAGGACAGTAAGAACACCGGAAAATGTGAATGCAGTAAGAGTTTCCGTACAACAATCTCTAAGGCGTTCAGCTCGTAAGCATGCAGCTGCTTTGGGAATTCTCGATAGAAGTGTTGGAAGAATTTTACACAACTCACTCCATCCGCATCCGTGCAAAATGATTGTAGTGCAGGAATTAAGCGCAAGAGATTTTGAAACCCGTACAAATTTATGCCGGTATATTCTTCAAAACATTCCCAGAGGCGCTGTATTCATGTCTAGCGATGAAGCTCACTTTCACCTCTCGGGTACTGTAAATAAGCAAAATTTCCGTTATTGGTCAGCAAATAGTCCACAGGAACTTCATGAGCGACCTCTTCACAGTCCAAAAGTCACCGTCTGGTGTACAATCTCAGAGTTTGGCATGTGAGGTCCTTACTTTTTCCAAGAATTTGGAATAATGGTAACAGTCAACGGAGATCGATATTTTGATATGCTTAACAATTTCCTGCGTCCAAAAGTGAACGAGTTGAACAACGATCAAAGAGAACATCTTTGGTTCCAGCAGGATGGTGCTACATAGCACGTTCACTAAATCTTCTTCAAGAAATGTTCCTAAACAAAGTGGTGTCTTTACGGGGTGATCTTGGCTGGCCGCCACGTTCGCCTGGTTTGCCTCCTTGCGACTTTTTTCTTTGGGGTTACCTTAAAGCGAGAGTTTTCATACATCTTCCGCGGACTTTGGAAGCATTAAAGGCAACCATAAAACAAGAAATTGCCTCAATTCCCCAAGAAATGATCCATTAGGTAATGATGCGCTTCCGCGAGAACTTACAAGAATAGATCGACAATAATGGCCGTCATTTAAAAGGCATCATTTTTAAAAAATAACGTTCCTAAATGGCGTAAAATGTACATTTCAAAAATAATTTTAAAAAAATGTTTGCTTTATGTAGTTTGATTTTTATTAACATCCCAAATAGTACCTATCATTTTGCCGCACCTTGAATATTTAAAAGAAGAAGGGAGCGTCATTATGTCCAAACATCACCACAAAGCACAATGCCCTAGGGCACTATGCAATAGACCAAAGTATGCCATTCTGAGTACTGTTCGCGTTACGGAATGATCAGGTTGGCATATCTAAGAAAGCCAAATGCTCGACGCAGCACAAAGGTCACGTGGTTTACAATGAACCACGATAACTCGAATAGTAAAAAGCTATGTCACACGGATAGAAGTTTATTTTATGATTTTTCTTCTTTTCACTGATTCAAAACTGTATGAAGTGTCGGCATTGCATTCATTTTGCTATATTTTGTAGGTAGCTTGGCAGCAGCAAGTTGTCCTTACAGACAAGATTTTTTCCATAGCGTATCCCTGGAGTTTGTAACATTAAATAAAAATTTCCGATACGTTTTATATTTTCAATTTTCGCGATTATGCCTGCCATATCAGACCCTTAAAGGCAAATTGGAGCATATTTCGCGAATTTTCCTCCGCGCCGCCGCCTATAAAAATGCAAATAAAACGCAAAAATCGGCCCTTTGAGACGCATCACTTAATTCCGAATCCATTACTAGGGGATATTATTCAAGACTGGAGGCCCCGCTTTTTACCGCCGCAGCAACGTTCGGATCAAACATTAAAGTTAATTGAATTTCCGACGCCTTAGCTCCAGAATTTCCAAATTGACTTGGAAATGACCGAGAAAGACGAATTCGGGAGACCGGAGGAAGGTTGGCGGAAGGTGAGAAACGGGCCAAAGTGGT